TCACATGCAAGATCATATATAGAGATATACAAAAAACAAGAGTATATATATGCGAAAGTACAAGCAAGGTCAAGAGGAGAGCAAGTGAGGCAAGACAGGCACAAGACCCTGTCAAGAATAATATATATTTCTATATATTGTTTTTGTAACTGCCTGTAGTGTAGACTAGTGTAGTTATATAATGTTCTGTTTTGGTGGTGCACCTTTCATTTTGCCTATATGTACTGCTCGCTCTATAGTGAAAACCCTTCTTCTCTTTTCAACTTTCTCGACTCTAACTTAACTCACTCGAACTCAACTAGCTATGGCTCCTTAGCCTAGCTCAAGTTGTCACAGACCCAACTGCGTGCAGCAACGCTGATGATCACAAGGCGCAAGTGCCTTGGTGAAGACATCAGCAGTGTTGGCCTCAGAGGCCACGTACGCAAGTCGCAGCTGTCCACGCTGCTGTAGCTCACGAGCAAGAAAGTAACGAAGAGCAATGTGCTTCGTTCTGTGCTCCAGTCGCTGCTCTCGACACAAGGCCAGCATGGCCTTGTTGTCTACGTACAGGACTGGAGGAGAACGAGGCTGCTCTCCAAGGTCGGTCAGCAGGTAGGTGAGCCAGCGTAACTCCTGTGCAGCCATAGCCCCAGCGTAGATCTCAGCCTCACAACTGGAGCCGAGAACAGAAGACGAGCGGGTAGCCCGCCACGAGACAGAGCCGGAACCAAGGCTGAAGGTGTAACCCTGTGACGACCGCTGCGTAGCCTGGTCGTCAGCCCAAGAAGCGTCTGCGTGCCCAGTGAGGACCACTGGACTGCGCCCTCCAAGCACTAGCCCCATGCCCGACGTACTGCACAAGTAGCGCAACACCCTCTTCGCTGCAGCCATGTGCTCTGGTCGGTGTCTCCCAGGAGCAACATAGCGTGCGAGAATGCTAAGAGGGTATGCGAGGTCAGGTCGTGTGCAGGTCATCAGGTACATGAGGCAGCCAACAAGCTCTGCAAACGGGCCACTCGACTCTACGGACTCATCCGAAGGCAGAGCTGAGAGCGAGTGGCGAGTAGGCAGAGGAGTGGCCTGAGGCGAGGAGTACGTGAAGCCGAAGCGCTGAAGGACCTGCTGCACCATGTGTGACTGAGTCAGGGTAATGGTGCGGCGTGCTCTGTCCCGGGTGATCTGCAAGCCAAGGTAGCTGCGCAGTTCACCCAGGTCAGTGCACGTGTGTCTCTTCTGCAGCTCGGACTTCACGTAGGCGAGTCCAGCAGTGTCAGCTGTGGCAAAGACCAAGTCGTCGACGTACACGAGGATGTAGAACGGCGGCAGAGAGGTGTCGGTGCGCAGAAACAGCGACGGGTCGGCAGTGGAAGGAGCAAACCCAAGTGCCGCCAGCGTAGTCCTCAGTGTGTCGTGCCACTCACGTGGCGCCTGGCGGAGACCGTAGACTGGACGCCGGAGACTCCACTGGGTACCAGGAGGGAAAGACCCAGTGAAGCCAGGTGGGCGACGCAGCCAGATCTCCTCGTGCAGGCTGCCCTGCAAGAAAGCTGTGCTGAAGTCGAGAGAGTGCAGCTCGTAGTCACGGTGAGCAGCAACGTGTAGCAGAACCCGAAGAGTGGTCATCTTCGGGGTGGGGGAGAAGGTCTGAAAGTAGTCAACCCCCTGCCGCTGACTGAAGCCACGAGCCACGTAACGCGCCTTGAAGACAGGCGGAGAACCCGGCGGCCGCTTCACCCTGAAAATCCACATGCCACTGACGATGTTCGCCCCAGGAGGGGGAACAGCGTCAACGTAGGTGCCTGTGGACTTCCAGGAAGCCATCTCTGCATCCATAGCTGCCTGCCACTGAGAGGAGTAGGGACCCTCTATCGCCTCCGCGTAAGAGCGCGGAGTCGGGATGTCTGGTGCATCCGGGTCTCCCTCAGGGGCTAGCAGTACAGACGCGAGACGAGGTGAAGCGGCGGCCAGACACTGGAACTCCTCCTGCCTGTCCTCAAGGACGTCCGTGCCAAGGGCACACTCACCCCCGACGGACGGAGGACAGGCGGACTCAGACTCAGTGACAAGACGAGCAGCGTAGTCTAGACGACAGCGCGCAGCAAAGTCGACAAGCTCAGTGACAAGGGCAGACGCAGCAGACGACTCGAAGGAGGGGTCAGTGACAGCAGTAGCCAGGAGACGCGTGACAGTAGGACTGGCAGCACGAAGGGCGTCCGACTCCGGGTCGGCAAGAGCAGGAAGAGAGGAAGCAGGAGGAGAAGGCAAAGGGGCACGCAGAGGAGCAGTGGACGGACGCAGGAACATCCGGTGCGTGCCAGGGACAGGAGGAGGACGCTGACGCGACCCGCGACCACTAGCGCGCTCAGTACGAACAGGCGACACAGGACGAGACGCAGGCTCACGACGCTCAGTAAGACCTCCAGTCGGACCAGCGTAGGGAGAAGGAGCAGGCAAAGGGGAGGCAGGCTGTAGCTGTGGCTGTGACCGGACAGGCTGCGGACCCTCTAAGGGAGGAGGAGGAGGTGTAAGACCAAGAACCTGCTGAAGGAGCGGAACGAAGTACGGTCGGGGCCGCGCGACGACGCTAGAAACAGCAGGAACAGCACCAGCAGCCCCGGCAGGAGCACCCACTCCAGTAGCACCTCCAGCAGCACCACCAGAAGCTCCAGAACCTCCAGCCGCAGCACCAGGAGCACTGTCAGTCGGGCCGCCAACGGCAGGCTCAGCACCAACACCCTCAGCAGGACCAGCTCCAGGAGAACTCTCAGACTCAGCAGCTCCAGCACCCACAGTACGAGCGCCGGCGGGGCGCGCAGCAGCAGTACCCTCTGCAGCCGAAGAACCACCAGCACCAGCAGCACGCCTCCAGCGCCCGGCAAACCACTCACGCAGCTCCTGTGGGGAGAGTGGCTCCCGGCGAGACGAAGCACCCCCAGGCACAGCACCTCCAGGCTCAGCACCCCTAGACACAGCACCCCCAGGCACGTCACCCCCAGGCCCAGCACCCCCAGGCTCAGCAACCCCAGGCTCAGCACCCCCAGGCTCAGCACCCCCAGGCACAGCACCCCCAGACTCGGCACCTCCAGGCACAGCACCCCCAGGCTCAGCACCCCCAGGCTCAGCACCCCCAGACTCGGCACCTCCAGGCTCAGCACCCCTAGACTCCGCACCCCCAGGCTCAGCTCCCGCAGCAGCACCAGAGTCACCAGTGACCTCGACAGGCTCGACCGCGTCTACCTGGGACACACCTGAAGGGGCAGGACCCTGAGGGGGGAGGGGGACTACCGGGGGGGGGCCTGGTACCAAGAAGAGCGGGGGTGGGGGGAGGGACGGAGTGCGGTAGGGGAAGAGGCGGTAGTAGGGTACCGACTCGTCGAACGTGACGTCCTGGGAGGACAGAACACGTCGAGAGGTGGGGTGGTAAAACTGCCACCCAGGGGCGTCGGGGGGGAACCCCAGGAAGACGCAGGGAGAAGCACGAGGGGATAGCTTGTCCGCAGACAGGTCGCGAACAAACGCCCGAGATCCCCAGACCCGGAACGCCGACGCATCGCCAACCTTCCCCGTCCACAGCAGGGCTGGGGAGGTCTCCGGTCGAGAGACCCTGGGGTGGAGGTTGATCTGGTGCGCAGCGTACCTGACCGCAAACGGCCACAGAAAATGGGGAGCAGCCGCATGCATCATGGACGTACGAGCGACGTCCATGACCATGCCAATGCGGCGCTCAGCAATCCCATTCTGCTGCGGTGAGTCCGGAAGCGTGAAGGTCTGACGGATGCCTCGCGCACGACAGTAGGCACTCAGGAGGCCAGAGGAGAACTCTCCGCCTCTGTCCGAGTGCAGACGCAAAACAGGGAAGTCAGAGCCAAAGCTCCTCCGAAGCTGGAGACGAGCTGCGCGGATCCAGTCGATCAACACCGCAGTGACCTCACCCTTGCTGCGCAAGGGGAAGACTGTGGTGTAACGCGAGTAGTCGTCAACCACCAGCAGGAAGTAGCGCTCCTGACCCTGTCCACGGACGCGGGCTGGGCCCCACACATCCATGTGAAGCGTCTGCAACGGGGCCTCTGTCGGAGGAAACTGGGAGGAGTGAGGGGCAGCACGCTGGCGCCCCTCGACACAGGGGACACAGGTGGGGCCAGGGCCCGGAGGAAGGGGAGGGAGAGACCGGGGAAGACCAGACACAAGGACTCGCGAGGCCATGCCTCTGAGCCGAAGCAGAGAGGGGTGGCCAAGGCGGTGGTGCCAGAGGAGGGTCTCGTGAGACAAACGACGGCACGAGCAGGGGGCAGACTCAGGACCAGACCTGGACGCTGCAGCAAACACCTGACCAGACGAAGTGACCCTACCAGACTCAGCACCTGGAGGAGAAGCAGTGGTCAGAGTGTACAGGCTCGACCCTGGCCGACGTGTAAACGTAGCCAGGTGGCGACCTGTATCCGCCTCCGTGCAGTGGGTCACCCGCTGACGAGCAGGGGTGAACTGGTGGACACCCGCATCCTGGAGGTCAGCACCACTCACCAAGTTCGTCGAGAACGAGGGGAGGTAGAGACCAGTCAGGGTGCCAGAGGGGGCCGCCGGACACGGGAGGACAGTGGAGAAGCGAGACAGGACAGGCCCCCCAGAGGGGTCAGCCAGGGACACCGCAACCGGCCGACTCAGCGGCGTGAGAGTGGTGCGGTCCCGAAAGAAGGAGCGAGACGCTCCAGAGTCAAGGGTGAAGGTGTGAGAGGCCGAAGCCGACACAGTACCTGAGAGGGCAGACTCACCAGCACCTGAGAGCACAGACGCACTGGCACCTAGAGCAGCAGCCTCACTAGTACCTGACGCGGCAGTACCAATGCCTGGGTCGGGCGGGAAACACCGGTAACAGTCATCCTTATCACTACCAATCGCAGCATACATAGCAAAGAGAATAGCATCAAAATCAAGATCATAAATAGCTACACCAGCCCTAGACAGCTCTCCCCAGCGGGGGATCTCAGCTGCCCCCGGAAACTGCTGACGCCAGGCGTCAGTCAGGCGGCCAAAGCAGCGGCGGGCAGTGTGGGCGCCTCCACACCTCTCCCCTGCACGGTCACCAGTGCGGAGAACGTAGGGGCACGGACCAAGCGCACCACCACGCTGACGCTGCGAGTACCACTCACGGAGCTGCTGAGGGGCGGGGACAGTGCGAGAGCGCTGCTGCTGCTGTGGCTGCTGCTGCGGCTGCTGCTGCTGTTGCTGCTGGCGCTGACCACCCCCGGAGCTGCTCCGCTGGGACGAGCCACTCCGACCCCCGCCTCCACTGCCACCCCCGCCTCCACCGCCACCCCCGTCTCCACCTCCACCTCCCCCACCAGGACCGTCGCTCCCACCGCTCCCACCGCCTCCTCCGCTACCACCTCCGCCGCCACCTCCGCCTCCACCGCCGCCACCAGTACCTCCACTTCCGCCACCACCCCCACCGCCACCCCCACTCCCCCCGCCACCCCCACCGCCTCCTCCATCGCCCCCTCTAGCTCCACCCGCTCCCTTGCCCCCCTTGCCCTTGCCAGCGCGGCGTCTGCCGCTGGGGGCAGACGCCGCGCCGACCGACTCAAAACCAGTGAGGTCGGCCGCAGCGGCAGAGGCGACAGAGGGCAGCAGGGGGGAAGGACCACACCCCTCAAAGATAGGGGTGCGAGGGTCACCCCGAGAGGCCCCTACAGCGACAATACTCTTCTCAGCCGCTAGCAGGGACTCCTCAAGGAGGTCGACAGTGAGAGTGGTGGGACAGACAGAGAGAAACTGGTCCCTAACGACACGAAGGGACTCAGGGAGACGGGTGACGAGAAAGTAGAGAGTGATGTACATGGGAGGAGGGTTCGCAGCGCGGAACTCAGCAGGAAGGGCAGCGCGGTAGCGGGTGTCACTAGCACGGAGGTGGGTAACGAGGTCAGCGACAGTGGGAAAGGAAGCGAGGTCAGGGAAGAGAAACGGTAGCATGAGGCGGCTAAGGGTAGCGGAGGAAGGGGAGGAGTAGCGTGCAACTACAGCGTCGTACAAGGCCTGAGCGGTCTTGCACTGACTAAAGTGGGCACGCTCAGAGGAAGGGAGGTGGCGACGCACAGCAAGACGTGCAGCAGCATCGCGGGTCGCCCACTTGGAGCGAACGGCAGAGTCAGCATCAGCAGGTGGGGCAGGGACAGCGCCAGAGACAAAGTCAAAGAGAGAGACCTCATCTATCGCATCACACAGTAAGTACAGCTGCAGGTCTTCAATCCAGACGGCAAAGTCAATGGCCCTCCCCTCAGCGTCAAAGGTAAGAACATTGGGGGTGGCCATGACAGCAGCTGAAAATCTCACCGGGCTGGGAGAGGCGGGTAGGTCAGCAGCAGAGGAACAGCAGCACGGCTCCGCAGGCGGCTCGGGCGGCGCGGGCGGCTCGGCGGCGGCTCGGGCGGCGGCTCGGCGGCGGATCGGCGGCGGCTCGGCGGCGGCTCGGCGGCGGCTCGGCGGCGGCTCGGCTGCCGCTGGGCGGCGCGGGCGGCTCGGGCGTCACGGGCGGCTCGGCGGCGGCTCTGGCGGCTCGGCGGCGGCTCGGGCGGCGGCTCAGCGGCGGCTCGGCGACGGCTCGGCGGCGGCTCGGCGGCGGCTCAGGCGGCGGCGGCTGCTGCTGGGCGGATCGGCGGGGCCGCGTAGCAGAGTGGCGGCGGGGCCGCGACCGAAGAGAGCGGCGGGGCCGCGTAGCAGAGGGCGGCGGGGCCGCGTAGCAGAGGGCGGCGGGGCCGCGTAGCAGAGGGCGGCGGGGCCGCGTAGCAGAGGGCGGCGGGGCCGCGACCGAAGAGAGCGGCGGGGCCGCGTAGCAGGGGGCGGCGGGGCCGCGTAGCAGAGGGCGGCGAGGCCGCGTAGCAGAGGGCGGCGGGGCCGCGATCGAAGGGCGGCGGGGCCGCGTAGCAGAGGGCGGCGGGGCCGCGTAGTAGAGGGCGGCGGGGCCGCGTGGCAAAGGGCGGCGGGGCCGCGATCGAAGGGCGGCGGGGCCGCGTAGCAGAGGGCGGCGGGGCCGCGTAGCAGAGGGCGGCGGGGCCGCGTAGCAGAGGGCGGCGGGGCCGCGAGGCAGAGGGCGGCGGGGCCGCGTAGCCGAGGGCTGCGGGGCCGCGATCGAAGGGCGGCGGCGGGGCCGCGTAGCAGAGGGCGGCGGGGCCGCGATCGAAGGGCGGCGGGGCCGCTAGGGAAGGGCGGCGGAGCCGCGAGGGGAAGGGCGGCGCAACGGTCCGCTAAAAAAAACGCGCCTCGGGGCGCGGTTCGGTGGGCCCTAGAAGCAGTCCCTAGGAGGGAACCTGCTCTGATTCCATGTGAAAACAAAGAACGAGAATGAAATGACTAGGAACGAAGTGAGTACAAATAGGAAACCCTAATTGGGTTGTACCCCCTATGGGATACCCCACTATAGCCTACAGAAACAAGTAAGCTATAAGTTCTGACAGAATATATCGCCCTCTGCTCAGCCACCAAGGAAGGACTCTATCTTCGCGAGCTGCTGGAAGAAGCGAAGTTAGCCGAGTTACCCAACTTCACTCTGTTCTGCGACAACCAATCTGCGATTCGCATCGCCAACAAGAGCGGATTCGCGAACAGAACGAAGCATATCGCCCTGCGATATTTCTTCGTGAAAGACGAGATCGAGAAAGGGAAACTCAAATTATCCTACTGTCCCACGTCTGAGATGGCAGCTGACTACTTGACCAAGAAGCTCGGAAAACAGAAGTTCGAGTACTGCATGCTGCTGACTGGAGAAAGCCACGTCACCATCAGCGACACTCCAGAAGCGAAGGGGAGTGTTGGGAACAAATAGTCTTAAGCGCCTCTGTCGTGTCGAAACTCAAAGCGAAGCAGCTCAAATCGAAGCACCGCGAGTCAACCCTCGGAGATTAACGTAACCGCTGGAGGTTACGAGAAAGTCAAAGGTCAGCGACCTTTGACCTGACACAGCGCGACAGCAAGGACACACAACTGACTCGACATTGAGCAGTTGCCCGAGTCGCACTGTATCGAACCGCAACATTAAAACAGTTACAACTATGTCTCTTCATATTCTCTGTACTCATATACCGTATCACCCCGGATATAAGCGCCATGGCGCTTATAATAAAATCGATTTTTTTAAGGGTGGCGCTTGTAATTGAATAATGGCCATAAGCGCCGGCGCTTATATAAAGACAAATACAGAAATACAATTCAAACGCACCAACATGTACAGTTCAGTCTCGTAAGTTGAACCGAATTAAAACTTTACAGCGTCCAGAATCAGAATCGCGCGAGGGCGAATTTCTGACGGTGCACTGAGCTTTGGCGCGTCATTTTGCCCGCGTGCCAGCTCATACTGACTGGACGCGCAACCAGTGAGGTCCGCGAAAGTCAAACAAAGTGAAAATGTGATGTGACTCGCTAGAAATATGAAGTTCGTTACCGTTTTAATCAGGAATGAAAAATAAATTTAGGCGTGCGCTTATAATAAGTAAAGCATTTTCAGGGGGGGCGCTTATAATCGAATTCCGGCCATAAGCGCCATGCTCCAGATAGAAGCGCCGGCGCCTTTAATCGGACGGCGCCTATATCCGGGGCGATACGGTATATATTCCTGTATCTCTTTGGTTTAATTAACTTACTTTGCTCTCACATACTAGCGCAAGGTGGTTCAAGGACTTTATTCAAAAGCTTCCGCCTCTACATCATTTACTCAGAATTTAACTCTACTAAAGATCCTAGGGCGTTTCAGCCCAACAGCATGCACCAGCCTGACAAGGGGTTAGCCTGATAGGGGTCCGTAGGAACACGCTCTTACAATGTATCGTCTGTTAAGGGCATGAAAGAATGCTATTGCAACTTGCAATACATGATCAAGTGAATAAGGACAAGACTAGCTAGCAAAGCAAGGCACCAGCCACCAGTACGATGAATGTCTTATTGAGCATGCAGTGCAACCTCCGGAAACCAACTTGACTTGTAATGACGGAAACCCAACATTTGTTGGTTTCGGCTATCATTGCCTTGAGAGAATAATTCCTGTGCTCTGACCCAAGCACCTTATGTGAGGGTGAGGGCTTTAATCCATGGATGCTCTGTTGCAACATTTGATTCACATTGTTGAGTTGTCCACAGTCGACAGTTCCACGGTCAAGATATGGGGGTCGAGGTGGGGGACATGAGGAAGGAATAGTGAGGAGGGAGGGGGTTAGAGGGAAAACGTTATAGAGATGTACCGTAGCCGTGGTTTACAAAAGAACCAATACATGAAGACGAGGTTACAGGACTGAAAGGGTCCTCAAAAGGAAAAATGTAGGGAAACCGAAGGATTTTCAAAACATTAAGCAATGGGGGAGAAGGGGAACGAGCAAGGGGAAAGGGGAAAGGGGGGAGCACCTCACAGCACCTTACAGCATCTCACAGCACAGCACAGCACAGAAAAGCACAGCACAGCACAGCACAGCCCAATATGGCACAGCACGGTATAGCATCCCACAGCACAGCACTGTACCGATAACACTGATAGTTGGAGTGAGCAGCAATGCAAGCAACCTCCCAATCAACCTTGCAATCAGCCCCACAGACAGTCCACACGCCAACAATGCCCACTCACTCAGGATCTCCGGGACGGTGATCCGCTCGTCGAACCTCCGGCACAGCATCCGCCGAACCAGGTCCTTAGCCGCGGCAGACACGTCCGGCCAAGGCTCGGTCTCCAGATCCAACGGCTCGTGCAAAATACTCGAGAAGATCTCCTCCGTCGAATCGCCCCAGAACGGCGGCAGCCCGCACAGCATGACATACAAAATCACCCCCAAGCTCCACACGTCCGCCTCGGTGCTGTAATTCTTCGCGATGACCTCCGGGGAGATGTAGTTGGGCGTGCCGGCGCGCTGCGTGCAGCGCTCGCCGTCCTGAAAGCGGTACGCCATGCCGAAGTCGATCACCTTCACACGCGTGTCGCTGCGCGTCGAGACGAGGAGCACGTTCTCGGGCTTTAAGTCGCGGTGCAGGATGCGCTGCGAGTGGCAGTAGCGAAGGACGTCGGCGAGAGTGCGGCACACCTGCATGTATTAGAACAGCTCCGCACAGAAGAGCAGAGCAGAGCACAGCACCACACACGGGGAGCGTGTTTCAGGCAGAGCCACCATCCATACAGCTCCAATGAGGAGTTTCCATATAGCTCCAGCGCGGGGTAAGCCCACCTCTCTCAGACAAACCACAGGCCACCATTCACGGACTCGCGAATGGAATCAATAAGACCGCCCGTCTCGCACGAGGGGTCTCGAGACAACACCTCCTCAAAACCCACGTGCGCTGCCACATGAGCCCTTTCAGCGGGCTACAGAGCACACACAGAGCTACTCACTCACACTCAGACTCAACATCTGACTTTTGAGTCGACTCAAAAGTCAACTCACTCAGACTCAACATCTGTTCGCTCAGGAAGCCCACCTGGGCTGCCACATGGGCCCATTCAGCTCCCCGCAGAGCAGACCTCAGCTCAAGAGCTACCAACTCCGACTCTTAAGCTGCCCATTCAGACTCAACATGGTTTCGCTGACCAAGCCCACCTGCGCTGCCTGGCGCTCTCCGTAGTGCTTGCGCGCCACAATGCGGTCGAATAGCTCTCCCCCCTCGCACAGCTCCATCACCATGTGCACGTCCTGGAGGGGGTAGTGGGGGAAGGGGAGGGTGGAAATGGGGGAGAGGAGAAGAGGTGTTCAAGTGGCGTTCACAGCTCTCCCCCCTCGCACAGCTCCATCACCATGTGCACGTGCTGGGGGGTGGTAGGGGGAAAGGGGGGCAGGGAGGGGGAAGAGAAGAGGGGCAGGGTTCACAGGGGTGCTTGATCAGTCATTGCGGTCGAATAGCTCTCCCCCCTCGCACAGCTCCATCACCATGTGCACATCCTGGAGGGGAGGGGGTGAAAGAGGGGAGAGAGGGGGAGAGGGAAGGGGGAGAGAAGGTGGGTAGGGTTTGATCGTGAGTTTGAGGTGGCGCTAACTGAGGGTTACTAATATTACCATGTGCACACAGGGTGATGCTAACACATTGAGTAGTCTAGTTTTGAGGCGCCTCAAAAGTGGCGCTAACTGAGGGTTACAGAAATCATTCATGTGCCCATGTGCGCACAGGGTGATGCTAACACATTGAGTAGCGATGTTACTCGTTCGCTACACAGTGGTAGATCCAGACTCAAATCACAATGTCAACTCACCGTGTAACCCCTAGTGTCAACTCACAGTGTCATCTCAAGAACCAACTCACCGTGTCATCTTCATAGGTATCCACCAGTGACACAATGTTGGGATGGCCCTTCACTGATCGCATCACCTCCACCTCCCTCCTCAGATCCCCTATGTCGTCCACGCACTGGCAGGTGGGAGGGAAAAAGGAGGGAAAGGCAATAAGAGGGGTTGAGGTCTGTGAGCGAACTAGGTCCCCTTGACCGCTCGCATCATCTCCACCTCCCTCCTCAGATCCGCTATGTCGTCCACGCACTGGCAGGTGGGGGGGGATGGGGAGGAGAAGAAGAAGAAGAGGCGAGTGAGGGGTTTCATTTCAAAAGGAGCTGCATGGCAGGATGGCTGCATGGCTGCATGCCTGCATGGCTGCATGCCCCTCTTGAGCGCCCGCATCACCTCCCATTTCCAAACACTGGTATCAACATGTCAGTGGGAGGAGAGGAGAGAAGGTGACGGGGAGGAGAGGCGATACTCATACGAAGCACTGGTGATGGAGTGGAGGAAAGGAGGGAAGGCAAGGGAGAGGAGAGGCGAGAAGACGGGTGGCGGGACAGACGGGGGGCGGAAAAAAAAGACCCGAGAGGGTGATGAAGTTGTTTGAGAGGGTGATGAAAGTCTTGTTTGACAGCAAACAGCATCTCTTCAACACTCCCATATCCCCCCTCCCACTCCCTATCTGCCATCTCCCCTCCCCTCCCCCTCGGCCCTCACCTCCAGTCGTTTCTTGTTGACGCTCTTGCAGGCAAACCGTTCCCCAGACACCCAGTCAACCGCCTCCCTGATCACCCCGAAGTTGCCCCGCCCCAGCTCCTTCCCCAGCTGATACACCTTCCGCACATCCGACAATCCTCTCCCCAACACAGAGGTTGAGAGCTGCTGCATTGCTGCTGCCTCCGTCCTGCGCCACTCCTCCAAAGCTCCTTGCACCAGTGCTCTCACGTCCACCTTTCCTCCTCCTGCTCCTCCTCCTGCGCCTGCCTGCACCACTGCTTTCACGTCCGCCTTCCCCCCTGCTCCCGCTGCCTGCACCATGGCTTTTGCTTTCGCTTTTTTTCCTCCTGCTGCTCCTACCTGCACCGTGCTCTTTGCGTCTGACTTTCCTCCTGCCCCCGCTGCCTGCGCCATTGCTTTCACATCCGCCTTTCCTAGCCGGGCTCTTGGGTGGGCTCCTTTAGTGGCTCCTACCGTGGCTCGTGACGTGGATCCTGCAGTCTCTTTTCTGGTAGCTTCGCCTGCTGCTGTTGCTGCTGCTGCGTCTGTGCCTGCCCCCATTACGGCTCGTTTTCCTTGTGCTTTTCCTCGTGCTCCTGCTGCTTCTCCCTCCTCCCCTTCCCCATCCTCACTCTCCTCATACGCCTCACCACCCATGTACTTACCCCAATCCTCTCCCTCCTTCACCTTCTCCTTCTCCTTCTCCTTCTCCTTCTCCTTCCCTTCCCCTTTCTCCTCCTTCTCTTCCACCTGCTTCTCTCCTTCCCCTCGCTGTCCCCACACCCGTCCCATCCACCCACCGCCACCAGGAGAACCAAGCCGGTAATACTCACTGGGACTGGGGGTGCGAATAGGCCCTAGAATCAGCCCTAGCACTCCCTTCTTCCCTCCTCTTCCTCCTCTCTTCCCTCCTCCACCTGCTCCTGCTCCTCCTCTCTCTCCTCCTAAACCTGCTCCTGCTCCTCTCTCTCCTCCTAAACCTGCTCCTGATCCTCCTCTCTCTCCTCCTAAACCTGCTCCTGCTGCTCCTCGTGAAGGTGAAGTGACAGGAGGGGAGGCATTGGGGGACATCCCAGTCCTGGGTGACTGGTTTGAAGTGGCTCCTCCCACCCCCCATTGCCCCGAACCTCGCCTTCCCAAACCTAGCCCTCCCGAACCTAGCCCTCCCGAAGCAAAGAAGCTCTGAATCTCGGCCAGCTTTTGCTTGTCCCTCTCTGCTAGGGCAGCCATGGATTGAGGGCTATGCACCACACTCCCCCCGCCTGGGGTATACGGGTAATTCACATACGGACTACTTGCATTTAAAGACGCGGAGGAAGCTGGACTAGGGAGGTAAGTTGGTGAGGAGTTGCCGATAAAAGTGCTCGATGAATTTCCTGCCGGACTTGAGCTGCTGGTCCGGCTGACGCTGGGGCTGGAGTGGCTCGGGCTTTTAGTCTTCGGGCTGCGGAGGCTCGGGCTGAGCACATTAGGGCTTCTGTGCCTGGGGGAGCGAGAGAAGGTCGCAGGAATGGATGGTGCTGCTCCTCCTAATGCTGCTGCTGTTGCTGCTGCTGCTGCTGTTGCTCCTGTTGCTCCTGTTTCTCCTGCTGCTCCTGCTGCTGCTGTTGCTCCTGTTGCTCCTGTTACTGCTGTTGTAAAGCCTCCAAGTAATTGTGCTGGTCCTAGCACACGCCCTCCAAGCGACGTGGAATGAGCAGCAGCGGCAGCATGAGCAGCAGAGGGAGAAGTATTATAAGGGGGGAGGCGGTAACTGGGGGAGGGCGAAGTGCCACGTGGACTGGTGTTGGGTGGTGACGTGGCAGGGCTGAGGCTGTTGTGGTGGGGAAGCACGATTCTCGGAGCCTTGAATCCATTGAGCTTGCTGAAATCAGCAAGGTTTTTGGTGGTGGTGGGAGAGGAATCTGGCTGGTAGCTTGTACTGGCTGATCGCCTGTGCCCCCGCCCCATCATACCGCCACTGCTGCAACTGTTGTTGGGATTTCCATGGCTGTACGGTTGCTGCTGTTGCTGCATATTACTAGCGAAACCACCACCACCACCGCTGCTGCTGCTAACGCTGCTTGTCCTCCTGTGCCCTCCCCCTTTATCCGCGCTACTCCCACTCATGCCCCCCGCACCGCTCCCGCCCATGCCGCCCATATTCCCGCTGCTGCCGTTTTGAGGGACCCTGGGACTCCCAAGCACCATGCCCATGGTGGGAGTGAATCTCATGCCGCCGCCCGTGCCGCAGCCCATGCCGCCGCCCATGTTCCCCGCCAGATTCCCGCTGCTTGCGCTGCGAGGCATTCCCATTCCCGTTCCCGTTCCCCCCATGCCAGCATCAAGCATCGGACTACCCATGGTGGAGCCACCTCTCTGCCCCATTCGCGCCAGATTCCCGCTGCTGGCGCTCCTAGGGACCCCGCCACCCCCCCTGGCGGGATCGAGCATTGTTCTCATGGAAGGAATTAATCCCACTCCCGCACCACTCATCCCCATGCCCGCCAAACTCCCGCTGCTTGCACTGCGAGGCATTCCCGTTCCCGTTCCCGTCATGCCACTGCCAGCATCAAGCGTCAGACTACCCATGGTGGGGGGGGTGAACCCCCCCACCCCCCCGCTTCTCTGCGCCATTCGCGCCAGATTCCCACTGCTCGCGCTTTTAGGGATCCCCCCACCCCCTCCCCCAGTGCCCTTTTTCCGATTCAGTAAGGGGGAGTTTGCCCCTCCGCCACCCGCCCTGCCTTCGCGCCCCAAGCCCCCACGTCCGCCTACCCCCGCTCCTCCTCCTCCCCCCGCTCCTCCTCCTCCCCCCGCTCCCCCCCCCCCCCCCGCCTTCCCTCGTCGCGTATGTGGTACGGCTTCTAGGGAGGCTTGCCACGTCAGCAACTGGAATGGCCGTGGAACCCCTCGCAAAGCTTCCGCCAGTCGTTTTGCTCCGCGCAATGGGGCTGGGAAGAGGGCAATCGCCGCCGTCCCCCTTTCCGCCCGCGCCCCTGGGGCTCAGCGGGGGCAATTGCGCGCCGCCACTGCCTGCAAAACTCGCGCCAAACCCGCTGGTTCGCGGGCTAACAATAGGAGGAAGTCCCCCCGTCATTCCGCCTTCCAGAAGAAAGGCTCCGCTACTCCGCGATCGGCGGTGGTTGGGCGCGGAAGTAGCGGGGGACTTTAACGAGCTGTACGGGCCTGCTTCTGTCGGGGACAGCGACCGCGGCGGAAGCCCCGTGGGGCTCGGAACACGCGGAATGGCGGAGGCGGAGGCGGAGGCGGAGGCGGAGGGGGAGGCGGGGGCGGTACTAGTGGGGGAGGTGGCTGGGGCCGCGGAGACTCTCCCCGCATCTTCCGCCTGCCATCGTTCCCGACTCCGCGGAATCGCACTTCCAGCGCTTTTCCTCCGCACATAAAGCTCGGATGTTTCCCCGCCGTTGCCAGTACTTTCCGCCTCCGCTTCCGCCGCCACCTCCGCATCTTCCGCCGAGGTCTCCGTTACGGCTCGTCCGCCGTCTCGACCGCCGTCTCGACCGGCGACTCGGAGTCCGCCGTTGGTGCACAGCTGCTGCATTCCTCGTTCCATCGTCATCTCGCCGACGCGCCGCGACCCCCTCTCGCCAGTACTACAGCTAGTAGAACCGTCGGCATTGGCGCCGCCAGCCAATGCGCGCCGCGGAGAGGGTTCGTAAAAGGAGAACGCATCCTCTGATCGGTACCGACGATGACGTGGCACCGGCGGCGATTGCGGCTTCGAAAGCCTCGACCCCGTTTGAAGGGAACTCGGTAAAGGATGAAGCTGGTCTTGCTGGCCTTCAACTTGAACGTTTGCGGCGAATCGCGTATCAGTGTGATCATCGAGAACGAGTTTAGCCGTCGGCGCCATCGCCGACACGCCGCGATGCGCGCTGGTAGCGAGTCGTCTGGCCTGGACAGTGCCTCCTCTCCTCTCCGGGTCGCTTTCGTCGCCATTCTCGCCGCCGACCCCGCCGAAATTCCCGCTTTCCCATTCCGATGCATTCTGACCTTCCGAGCGGTTCTGTTCGAAGGAAAATGTAGACTCCGATTGGCTGCGAAAATGCGAAGCCCTCGTCGCTTCCGCTGCGGCGAGTCTGGGGCGGTAACCATCATGTTGGTCGGTCTTTACGTTAAGTAAAAAACCCTCGGTGACTGCTGGACGAATTAAGGGAAGCATCGTGTCTCACAACACAAATTCCCACAATCAAAGGACAATATTTCCGGTTCACGCACTCTAGAGAGAGCAGTGCAGATATTAGGGCTCAGCGAGGCGACAGGGAACGACTGACAAGGCCAGTTTGAGCCTCGTCTTCGTGTCCGCTCCGCGAGAAACGATGAGTCCTGATACCTGTCTAGGTCGTCGTCACTCAGAATCTCGCCGCTAGCATCGTGGTTCGGCGAATCACTCCGACGACATGCTCTGCACGACGCTAGGCTATAGACTTTTATGTATACATCGACTACGAGTTCGGGTACTAAAGTAAGTAACATCGACTCTACGTGAAGCCTCATGGGTCCCAGAGCTGAGAGAACCTGACGATAGTAGGTAGGGCTCGAAAAGGACCCGCAATAAACACTGAAGGTGGCAAGGGCTGGCTGATAGCTAAAGGTGTATTTTGCGCTAGCTGGCACGCGCGGCTCGAACCTTGTCAGCAAAGGGATGTGGGCCCGTTTATTTTTTTGCACGTACATAAATAATCCATCAATTCGGTCCTCTTCTCGCAGATTAGCGTATGGTCGAAAAATCGCTTCTGCACATAAGACTTCGAAATGTTCCACCGACACCATTTTTTTTCACTGAATCTAACGTTTTTCCTGGCATCTCTGGATGTCGCCCTGAATTTAAGCAGAAAGCTGGCAATCAGTGGCTGATAGCCTATCCTGCCAGAGCTGACCAGTGCGGCTCGTACTAATTAGAACAAGGACATGTGGGCCCTTTTGTTATTTATTGCACGTAAAGCATAAGCCATTCAGTCATATTCTCGCCGATTGGCATGGCATATGGTCTAAAATCCGGTTCTGCACATAGACTATGAATTGTTCCACCAAATCTAACGATTTGGGAATCTGGATGCGGCCAGAATTTGGGGTGAAAGGGAAACACACACACCACCGTTCGTATCAGTCAAGTGAAGGCTCCTTACTCAGCATATGCTGTCCTTTTGTCTCTGTGCTGCCAGCTGCGCGAGTTTTCGATTCGCGACCCTATATAAATTGGATTTGATTAAAAAAGGCAGAACGAGCTGTACAATTTGGTGTAAACAGATCAAATCTCATAAGCGGCATATTTGGTATGACGATATTTATGAAGGATCCGAAGGGAGACTGTCTTCACGTCAACAAACTCTCGTCCAACCACTCTTTCAAGCTGGGCAGGGTGCACTATTTTAGATTCTATTCCCAAAGCACACTAGTTGTGGTGGCTAGTGTTTCGGAAAGATGTCAATATATTCAGGGCGAACCAGAACGCCGTTTTGTACGAGGCCCCTAAAGATGGGGTGGACTGAACTGTACCTTAATCACCTACTCCCTCGCCTCAAACGCAAAGCACTTCAGCTACCATGTTAGACTTGACTCGCTGCATACTGATTGCAGGTACAGGCCTATGTAGCTTGCTAGAGCTCGAGCTGTAGGATTTCGAGTCAGCATTGCTGTGGAATCTGGTCCTCTTTTCTTGCACCAGAAATGGGCTTTTCATGAAGACTGTCGAATAAACATCATTTCGAGTCAAATAAATCATCAGTTGTTGTAGATGATAGGCTGCTGAAGACGAGGATGCAGATGAGCACGGAGGCCAACTCCTGCACACAGGCATCGTCGCACACGATCTGGAGGGCGGCAAAAGCGCCTGAACCAATTGCGACTCGCACTGTTCCTCGACCTTGTGAGAATCAACGAGAATGAATGAACTATGAAAGAGTTGGGTACAAGTACTAACCCTAATTGGGTTGTACCCCTTACGGGCCACCCCACTATAGCCTACACAATATGCATAAGCTATATATGTTCCGACAGACCTCACTTTCAGCGCACCTCCTGACCGCATGATGCGAACCAGCAGCGCACCGAGTCCGGTCCATGTGATTGTCGCTATTGCACCGCAAAATGCAGCGATCTCCGCCACCCGCGCACGGGTGGAAGCACGGTCGCTGCTGGCCCGACCTGAAGCCCGTGCGCGGCGCAGAGGTTAGCAGAGAAGGCGAATAAAAAGCGTCCGCGTTACCAAAAGTCTTATTCGGAGCGTTCGGGGAAAGCACTGGGCTGGGTGGTGACGGTCGAGACTGTGGAAAGTGTGAGAAATGAAACGAGGAATGATTGCATTGAGCAGCATGAGGAGTACAAGTAGGAAACCCTAAAGTGTTGTACCCCATATTGACTACCCCATTACAGCCGAAATACACTATAACATATATAGTTCGAAACACCCCCATAGGCAAAGTGGGGGAGAACAAGGGGTCACAAGACCGTTCAAGAGAAGCACGGCAAGCCCAGGGTGGATCACAAAGTCACCACACAATCTGAGCACAAGCACGAGGCCACAAGGCCAGTTCACAAGCAGAGTTATACATCAAGAAGAACAAGCAAGGCAATGATCACAACCTAGCAAGAGTATGCATCCAAATGCAGGTATATATAGATCATAGTACAAGCAAAGTCAAGAGGTGAGCAAGTGAGGCCAAGCAGGCACAAGACCTAGCAAAGTACACAAGCGCTGATGATCACAAGGCGGAAGTGCCTTGGTAAAGATATCAGCAGTGTTGGCCTCAGAGGCCACGTAAGCAAGGCGCAGCTGACCCCGCTGCTGCAGCTCACGAGCAAGGAAGTATTGAAGAGCAATGTGCTTTGTTATGTGCTCCAGTCTGTGCTCTCGACACAAGGCCAGCATGGCCTTATTGTCTACGTACAGAACTGGAGGAGAACGAGGCTGCTCTCCAAGGTCAGTAAGTAGGTAGGTGAGCCAGCGTAGCTCCTGTGCAGCCATGGCCCCTGCGTAGATCTCGGCCTCACAGCTGGAGCCGAGAACAGAAGACGAGCGGGTAGACCGCCACGAGACAGAGCCCAAACCAAGGCTGAAGGAGTAACCCTGTGACGACCGCTGTGTAGCGTGGTCGTCAGCCCAAGAAGCGTCTGCGTGACCAGTGAGGACCACTGGACGTCGCCCTCCAAGCACTAGCCCCATGCCCGACGTACTGCACAAGTAGCGCAACACCCTCTTCGCTGCAGCCATGTGCTCTGGTCGGTGTCTCCCAGGAGCAACATAGCGTGCCAAGATGCTAAGAGGGTATGCAAGGTCAGGTCGTGTGCAAGTCATCAGGTACATGAGGTAGCCAACAAGATCTGGGTACGGGCGAGTCGGCTCTACGGACTCATCCGAAGGCAGAGCTGAGAGCGAGTGGCGAGTAGACAGAGGAGTGGCCTGAGGCAAGGAGTACGTGAAGTCGAAGCGCTGAAGGACCTGTTGCACCATGTGTGACTGAGTCCGGGTAATGGTGCGCTGTGCTCTGTCCCGGGTGATCTGCAAGCCAAGGTAGTTGGGCAGTTCACCCAGGGTGCACGTGTGTTTCTACTGCAGCTCGGACTTCACGTGGGCGAGTCCAGTAGTGTCAGCAGTGGCAAAGACCAAGTCGTCGACATACACGAGGATGTAGAACGGCGGCAAAGAGGTGTCGGTGCGCAGAAACAGCGACGGGTCGGCTGTAGAAGTAGCAAACCCAAGAGCCGCAAGTGTAGTCCTCAGTGTGTCGTGCCACTCACGGGGCGCCTGGCGGAGACCGTAGACTGGCCGCCGGAGGCTCCACTGGGTACCAGGGGGAAAAGTCCCAGTGAAGCCTGGTGGGCGGCGCAGCCAGATCTCCTCGTGCAGGCTGCCCTGCAGGAAAGCTGTGCTGAAGTCAAGAGAGTGAAGCTCGTAGTCACGGTGAGCGGCTATGTGCAGCAGCACCTGAAGAGTGGTCATCTTCGGGGTGGGAGAGAAGGTCTGAAAGTAGTCAACTCCCTGCCGCTGACTGAAGCCTCGAGCCACGTAACGCGCCTTGAAGACAGGCGGAGAACCCGGCGGCCGCATCACCCTGAAAATCCACATGCCACTGACGATGTTCGCCCCAGGTGGGGGAACCTCGTCGACGTAGGTGCCTGTGGACTTCCAAGAAGCCATCTCTATGTCCATGGCTGACTGCCACTGAGAGGAGTAGGGACCCTCGATCGCCTCAGCATACGATCGAGGAGTCAGGATGTCTGGTGCTTCCGGGTCTCCCTCAGAGGCAATCAGCGTGGACACGAGATGAGGCAAAGCAGCAGCAAAACACTGGAACTCCTCCTACCTGTCCTCAAGGACGTCCGTGCTAAGAGCACACTCACCCCCGACGGACGGAGGACAGACAGACTCAGACTCAGCAACAAGACTAGCAGCGTAGTCTAGACGACAGCGAGCAGCAAAGTCGACAAGCTGAGCAACCAAGGCAGACGCAGCAGGTGACTCAAAAGAAGGGTCAGTGACAACAGTAGCCAGGAGACGCGTGACAGTAGGACTGACAGCACGAAGAGAGTCAGACTCTGGGTCAGCAAGGACAGGGAGAGAGGACTCTGGAGGAGACGGCAATGGGACACGCAGAGGAGCAGTGGAAGGACGCAGTGCGATCTGGTGTGTGCCGGGGATCGTAGGAGGACGCGGACGCGAAGCACGACCACTAGTGCGAGCAGCATGAACAGGCGACGCAGGACGAGACACAGGCTCACGACGCTCAGCAAGACCTCCAGTAGGACCAGTGTAGGGAGAAGGAGCAGTTAGGGATGAGGCGGGCTGTAACTGTGACCGCGACTGGACAGGCCGTGGACACTCTAAGGGAGGAGCAGGACCAGTAGAAGGCGGGAGACCAAGAACCTGCTCAAGGAGCGGAACGAAGTACGGCTTCGGCCGCGCAGCGCCTCGAGAAACAGCAGGGACGGCACCAGTACCCCCAGCGGTAGCACCAGCTCCAACAGCACCTCCAGCTCCAACAGCGCCAACTCCAGCACCCTCAGATGCACCAGCGCCAGCAGAACCACCAGCGCCAACACCCCCAGCAGCTCCAGATCCAGCAGCTCCAACAGCTCCAGCAGCAGCAGGACCGGCAGCTCCAGTACCGCCGGCAGCTCCAGCAGTACCTCGAGTAGGACCAACTCCAGCAGCTCCAGAAGCACCCCCAGTTCGAGCAGCTCCAGTACCGCCAGTACGAGCACCTCCGGGACCAGCAGCAACAGTAGTACCCCCAGCTCCAGCAGCATGGCTCCAGCGCCGGGCAAACCACTCGCGCAGCTCCTGTAGAGAGAGTGGCTCCCGCCTTGACGAAGCACCGCCGACGGCCACACGAGTAGACCCAGCGCCCCAAGGCCCCACACCCCCAGGCTCTGTACCCCTAGGCTCAGCACCCCCAGGGTCAGCACCTCCAGACTCAACACCCCCAGGCTCAGCACCCCCAGACTCAGCACCCCCAGTCTCAGCACCCCCAGACTCAGCACCTCCAGACCCGGCACCTCCAGACCCGGCACCCGCAGGCTCAGTAGCTCCAACAGCACCAGAGTCAACAGCTACCTCGACAGGCTCGACTGCGTCTACCTGGGACACACCTGACGGGGCAGGACCCTGAGGGGGGAGGGGGTCTACCGGGGGAGGACCTGGCGCAAGGAAGAGCGGGGGCGGGGGAAGGGGCGCAGTGCGGTAGGGGAAGAGACGGTAGTGAGGTACCGACTCGTCAAAGGTGACGTCCTTGGGGACAGAACACGGCGCGAGGTGGGGTGTTAAAACTGCCAACCAGGCGCGTTAGGGGGGAAGCCAAGGAAGACGCAGGGAACAGCACGGGGGGACAGCTTGTCCGCAGACAAGTCGCGGACAAACGCCCGAGAACCCCAGACCCTAAACGTAGACGCATCGCCAACCTTCCCCGTCCACCGCAAGGTGGGGGAGGTCTCTGGCAAGGAGACCCGGGGCTGAAGGTTGAGCTGATGCGTGGCGTACTGAACCGCAAACGGCCACAGAAAATGGGGGGCAACCGCATGCATCATGGACGTACGAGCGACGTCCATGACCATGCCAATTCGGCGCTCAGCAACCCCATTTTGCTGTGGAGAGGCCGGAAGCGTGAAGGTCTGGCGGATGCCCTGTGCACGACAGAAGGCTCCCAGACGGGCAGAGGAGAACTCCCCGCCTCTGTCAGAGTGCAGACGCAGAACATGAAAGTCCGAGCCGAAACTCTCTCTGAGCTAGAGACGAGCTGCGCGGATCCAGCCGATCAACACCTCAGTAACGTCACCCTTGCTGCGCAAGGGGAAGACTGTGGTGTAACGCGAGTAGTCGTCAACCACCAACAGGAAGTAACGCTCGTGCCCCTGTCCACGGACGCGGGCGGGGCCCCACACGTCCATGTGGAGAGTCTGCAGCGGAGCCTCTGTCGGAGGAAACTCGGAGGAGTGAGGGGCGGCACGCTGGCGCCCCTCGACGCAGGGGACGCAAGTAGGGCCAGGCCCCAGAGGTAGGGGAGGAAGAGACCGGGGGAGACCAGAGACAAGGACACGGGAGGCCATGCCTCGGAGACGAGATAGGGAGGGGTGACCAAGGCGGTGGTGCCAAAGGAGAGTCCGGTGGGACAGGAGACGACACGAGCAGGGAGCAGACTCAGGACCAGACCTGCACGCTGCAGCAAACACCTGACTCGACGCAGCTACCTGACCAGACGCAGCAACAGGAGGAGACTCAGTGGTCAGTGTGTACAGGCTCGACCCCGGCTGACGGGTAAACGTGGCCAAGTTTCGGCCCGTCCGAGCGTCCGTGCAGTGGGTCACCCGCTGACTCGCAGGAGTGAACTGGTCAACCCCCCTATCCTGTAGGTCCGCTCCACTCACCAAGTTCGTAGAGAACGAGGGGAGGTAGAGACCTGACAGGGTGCCAGAGGGGGTTGCCGGGCACGGTAAGACAGTGGAGAAGCTAGCAAGGACAGGACCCCTAGAGGGGTCCGCCAGGGAGACTGCAACCGGCCGACTGAGCGGCGTAAGAGTGGTCCGGTCTCGAAAGAAAGAGCGGGACGAACCCGAGTCAAGGGTGAAGGTGTGTAAGGCCTGAGCCGACATAGTACCAGAGAGAGCAGACTCACCAGCACCAGAGACAGCAGACGCACTAGCACGTGGGGCAGCAGACGCACTAGCACCTGAGGCAGCAGACGCACTAGCACTTGGGGTAGCAGACGCACTAGCACCTGGTTGCGCAGACGCACTAGCACCTAGAGCAGCAGCCTCACCAGCACCTAGAGCAGTGGCCTTAATGCCCGGGTCAGGCGGTACACACAGGTAACAGTCACCCTCAATACTAGTAGTCATATCATATATGGCAGCAAGGATAGCATCATAGTCAAGATCTAAGATTGCAACCCCCGCCCTAGACAGATCTCCCCAGCGAGGGACTTCTGACGCCTCAGGGAACTTGTGACGCCACGCGTCCGTCAGGCGGCTGAAGCAGCGCTGGGTGGAGTGCGGGCCCCCGCACTGCTCACCAGCTCGGTCGCCGGTACGGAGGACGTAAGTGCAGGGACCAGTGCCCCCACCGCGCTGACGCGCAACGTACCACTCACGAAGCTGCTGAGGGGACAGAGTCTCACGACCGCGCTGGTGCTGCTAGCGCGGACCACCACCTGACCCACTCCTCTGCGTAGAGTCGCGACCTGCTCCACCACCGCCGCCGCCGCCGCATCCGCCGCCTCCTCCACCGCCGCCTCCTCCGCCACCTCCGCCGCCTCCGCTCCCTCCGCCACCACCGCCGCCTCCTCCGCCTCCACTGCTGCCGCCGCCGCCACCACCCCCACCACCACTCCCACCACCACCCCCACCCCCTCCACTGCCTCCACCGCCACCTCCACCGCCCCCGCTAGCCCCTCCTGTTCCCTTGCCCCCCTTGCCCTTGCCGGTGCGGCGTCTCCCGCTAGGGGCAGACGCAGCGCCGACCTCGTAGAAACCAACGAGGTCGGCAGCAGCAGAAGAAGCAATAGAGGGCAAGAGGGGGGAGGGGCAACACCTCTCAAAGACGGGGGTGCGAGGGTCACCACGAGAGGCTCCTACATCGACTATGCTCGTCTCTGCTGCTAGGAGGGCCTTCTCGAGGAGGTCAACGGTGAGAGTGGTGGGGCAAACTGAGAGGAAGTGGTCCCTGACTACGCGGAGAGAATCAGGGAGCCGGGTGACTATGTGGTAGAGGGTGATGTACATGGGGGGGGGGTTCTTGGCGCAGAACTCAGTAGGAAGCGCAGCGCGGTAGCGAGTGTCACTAGTGCGGAGGTGCGTAATAAGGTCAGCGACTGTGGGAAAGGCAGCAAGGTCAGGGAAGAGGTACGGTAGCATGAGGCGGCTCAGTGCAGCAGTGGCAGGGGAAGAGTAGCGCGCAACTACAGCGTCGTACAAGGTCTGAGCAGTCTTGTACTGGCTAAAGTGTGCACGCTCAGTGGTCGGTAAGTGGCGACGCACAGCAAGACGGGCAGCAGCATCGCGAGTCGCCCACTGTGAGCGAACAGTGCTGTCAGTAGTAGCAGGCGGGGCAGGGGAGGCACCAGAGGTGAGGTCGAACAAAGAGAGGCCGTCTGCCCTATCGCACTGGAGGAACAGCTGGAGGTCATCGACCCAGACCTCAAAGTCAACAGCACGGCCCTCAGTGTCAAAGGTAAGAACACTGGGGGTAGCCATGACTGCAGAGGTCTAGCAAGGAGGGGGCTCACCAGTACGAGTAAGTAGGGCCGGGGCGCGTCGGCAGGACTGGTAGCGGCACAGCGGCTCGGCTGCTGGGCGGCTCGGCTGTCGGGCGGCTCGGCGGCTAGGCGGCTCGGCTGCTGGGCGGCTCGGCGGCTCGGCTGTCGGGCGGCTCGGCGGCTAGGCGGCTCGGCTGCTAGGCGGCTCGGCGGCTCGGCTGCTGGGCGGCTCGGCTGTCGGGCGGCTTGGCAGCTCTGCCGCTGGGCGGCTCGGTAGAGGCGGCGTTGAGGCCGCGTACGAGGCGGTGTCGAGGCCGCGTAGGAGGCGACGTCGGGGCCGCGTAGGAGGCGGCTTCGAGGCCGCGTAGGAGGCAGCTTCGGGGCCGCGTAGGAGGCGGCGTCGAGGCCGCGTAGGAGGCGGCGTCGAGGCCGCGTAGGAGGTGGCGTCGGGGCCGCTTAGGAGCGGCGCTAGGGGCCGCTAAGGGCGGCACGAGGGGCCGCAAGGGCGGCGGCGTGGCCGAGGAGCGGCACAAGGGGCCGACGAGAGGCGCGCAGGGTTGCAGGGGCGGCGCGCGGGGCCGACGAAAGGCGCGCGGGGCCGACGAAAGGCGCGCGGGGCCGTAGGGGAGGCGCGCGGGGCCGACGAGAGGCGCGCGGGGCCGCAAGGGCGGCGCGCGGGGCCGACAGGTGGCGCGAGGGGCCGTAAAGGCGGCGCGCGGAGGCGGCTCAATGGGCCGTGAGAGGGGCCGCTAAGGGCGGCGCGACGGAAAGGAGGGCACTCGGGGCGCGACTCGGGCAGGAGCGAAGCGCGCTCCGGGCAGGTAAAAAAAATATCGAGGTGGGCCCTATAGAGTGTTCCACTAGGGAACCTGCTCTGAAACCATGTGAGAAATGAAACGAGGAATGATTGCATTGAGCAGCATGAGGAGTACAGGAAACCCTAAAGTGTTGTACCCCATATTGACTACCCCACTACAGCCTAAACAGACTATAGCACATATAGTTTGACAGAGAGGCCCGCGGCGCGGAAGCGTGGCGCGACGGCGGAGTCGGAGGAGAGATTGGCGGAACGCGGCGTTGACGAGGACGGTGTCGGCTGGTTCGGAAGGCGGAGCTTCTCGTGTGGAACCTGGCCTTTCGGCAAGGGTGGGCAATGGCTAGGTGAGACGAGCCTAGAACGCTCGTTTGTTGATGGCATCGGCAAAAATGACGGCAATTACTTGGGAGGAGCGAATAGCAGAGAGGATAAGGGAGGAGGCGCCGTGAACGACGGAGAGGGTGATACAGATTGCGGCGACAGCATCAGCCGCGGCGTCGACCCGCGCGGTGGTGCAACTGGCGACGAAGCGGCTTGAGGCGATTCTTGCTGGCGCAGGGACCTAACTTGCCTCAAATGCCGTTGTTCGGGTGGCGTCTTCATCACCGGAACATGCGGTGGTGTCGTCCGCGACGCCTGGCACGGCGGGGAGGAATGCGGAACGAGCTTGCCTTCGCGAACGAAACGTCCAGCGGCGGGCAGCGGCGGTTTGGAAACCGCGTCACTGCACGCGCCGCGACCATTATTAGAAGGAGAACGCGAAAATTTGGGGCTAGCAGGAGCAGATACCGAGCAATGCCGCCGCGCGTGGTCGCTTTAGTGCGCATGATGCCGATGGTGATGATAATCACCATGACGGTGCTGATTGTTGTAGTAATCTTCCGACAAGTCGTGTTGGAGGAAATGTTCAACGTCGTGAGGTGTTTGCTGCCACTTGTTGGCATGTTGAGGGGTGCCGCTCACAAAGAGTGCGGGCTGGCGGAGCGCAGGCAACGGCGGATGACACGTATCGAATTTTCGTTGGGTAGAAGCAGGTTAGATACGTAGGGGTAATGGACGGAGCTCGGACGGCGCGGTGCAGTAGGCAAAGCTTCCGCGCACCGCGTTGGAGAACGGGCAAATGTTGCAATGACGCTTGGCGATGGGAATGGCTCGTTATGAAGGCGGATGCGAGATAAATGGCGTGCAATGGTGGGATGGCTGTGTCGTGCGGAAAGTTTGTTGTGAACGGATCAGCAGCTGAGGACTTGAGCCTTTGAGCTTGAATGTTTGGAAAACCATCTAAGCTACGCACGTAACGACATATGTTTGAATGTTTGAGTGTGTGAGAGTCTAGCTGTAGGAATGATTGCACTATGAAAGAGTTGGGTACAAATATGAAACCCTAGAAGGGGCTGTACCCCATATTGTCTACCCCACTATAGCCTAAACATATATAGCATATATAATTTGACACACCCCCATAGGCAAAGTGGGGGAGAGCAAGGGGTCAAAAGACCAGTCAAGAGAAGCAAAGCAAGCGCAGGGTGGATCACAACGTCACCACACACACCGAGCACAAGCAAAGGGCCACAAGGCCAGTTCACATGCAGAGGTATATACGCAACAACAGCAGTACAGTGATCTCTACCTAGCAGAACAAGCATGCATGTATATATACATAGATCACAGTACAAGCAAAGTCTACAGCAAGTGAGGAAAAGTGGGCACAAGGCCTAACAAAGTGCAGAAACGCTGATGATCACCAGACGGAAGTGCCTTGGTGAATATATCAGCAGTGTTTGCCCGAGTGGCCACGTGAGCAAGACGAAGCTGACCACGCTGCTGCAACTCTCGAGCCAGGAAGTGAAGCAGAGCGATGTGCTTCCTTCTGTGCTCTAGTCTGTGCTCCTAATGTAAGGCAATGGCGGCCTTGTTGTCAACGAACAGCACTAGAGGAGAACCAGGATGCTCTCCCAGGTCGGTCAGCAGGTAGGTAAGCCAGCGTAACTCCTGTGCAGCCATGGCTGTGGCGTAGATCTCAGCCTCACAACTGGAGCTGAGAACTGAAGACGAGCGTGTAGAACGCCAAGAAACTGAACCAGAGCCAAGGCTGAAGGTGTAACCCTGTGATGACCGCTGCGTAGCTTGGTCGTCAACCTAAGAAGCGTCTGAGTGCCCAGTGAGGACAACGTCGCTCCCTCCTCCAAGCATGAGCCCCATGCCCGATGTACTGCACAAGTAGCATAGTACCCTCTTAGCAGCATCCATGTGCACCTTTCGGTACCGACGAGGAGCCACGTAGCGAGCCAGAAGGCCAAGAGGGTACGCAAGGTCAGGACGAGTGCAGGTCATCAGGTACATGAGGCAGCCCACTAGCTCTGGGTAAGGACCACTTGGCTCTACGGACTCGTCCGAAGGTGGAGCTGAGAGCGAGTGACCTATCGCCAGAGGAGTGGCCTGTGCCGAGGACCAGGTGAAGTTGAAGCGCTGAAGGACTTGCTGCACCATGTGTGACTGAGTCAGTGTGATGGTGCGGCGTGCTCTGTCCCGGGTGATTTGCAAGCCAAGGTGGCTGCGCAGCGCACCCATGTCTGTGCACGTGTGTCTCTTCTGTAGCTCCGACTTCACCAGGGCGAGAGCCTCAGTGTCAGCAGTGGCAAAGACCAGGTCGTCGACGTACACGAGGATGTAGAACGGCGGCAGCGAAGTGTCGGTGCGCAGAAACAGCGACGGGTCAGCAGTCGACGGAGCAAACCCAAGAGCCGCAAGTGTCGTCCTCAGTGTGTCGTGCCACTCACGCGGCGCCTAGCGGAGACCGTTGACTGGCCGCCGGAGACTCCACTGGGTACCAGGAGGGAACGACCCAGTGAAGCCAGGTGGGGGGCGCAGCCAGATCTCCACGTGCAGGCTGCCCTATAAGAAGGCTGTGCTGAAGTCAAGAGAGTGAAGCTCGTAGTCACGCTGAGCGGCAACGTGCAGCAGCACCCGAAGAGTGGTCATCTTCGGGGTGGGGGAGAAGGTCTGGAAGAAGTCGACTCCCTCCCGCTGACTGAAGCGTCGAGCAACGTAACGAGCCTTGAAGACAGGCGGAGAACCTGGCGGCCGCTTCACCCTGAAAATCCACATGCCACTGACGATGTTCGCATCAGGTGGGGGAATCTCGTCGATGTAGGTGCCTGTGGACTTCCAGGATGCCATCTCTGCGTCCATGGCTGTCTGCCACTGAGAGGAGTACTCACCCGCGATTGCCTCAGCGTAAGAGCACGGGGTCGGTATGTCTGGAGCATTCAGGTCTCTCTCAGGGGCAAGCAGCATGGACACGAGATGAGACGCAGCGGCTGCAAGACACTCAAGGTCCTCCTGCCTGTCCTCAAGGACGTCCGTGCTAAGAGCACACTCACCCCCGACGGATGGAGGACAGACAGACTCAGACTCAGCAACCAGACTAGCGGCGTAGTCTAGACGACAGGCATCAGCAAAGTCAACAAGCTCAGCGACTAAGGCAGACGCAGCAGCAAACTCAAACGACGGGTCAGTGACAACTGTGGCTAGCAGACACGTGACAGTAGGGTGAGCAGCACGGGTGCGGTCAGACTCAGGCTCAGGAACGATAGGCAGAGAAGACGCAGGAGGGGACAGCAGGGGAACACACTGCGGAGGAGAGGAAGGACGACGGACTACGAGGTGGGTGCCGGGGAAAGCCGGCTGACGCGAACGAGGAACACGACGACCGGAACGACTAGAATAGACAGGCGAGACAGGACGCGACGCAGACTCACAACGCTCAGTAAGACCCCCTGTCTACTCAGTGTAAGGAGAAGGAGGAGGCAGCGGTGAGCCAGGCAATAATGGAAGACTAGTAGACGAAGGGAGACTAAGAACCTGGCGAAGCACAGAGTCAGACGGTGGCTGAGACGACGGAGACGGTGGAGCAAAGAACAGGCGCGGTTGTGCAGTGCCACCAGCACCAGCAGCTCCAGCACCCCCAGCAGCTCCAGCACCTCTAGCAGCTCCAGAACCCTCAGCGCCAGCTCCTCCAGGACCAGCTCCACCAGCAGCAGCACCCCCAGAACCGGCACCTCGTGTCCCAGGGTCTCCTATCTCAGTGTCTCCAGCACCAGTACTCCCAGACCCAGGGTCTCCAGCAGTAGCACCCTCAAGCTCAACACCTCCAGCCCTAGCAGCTCCAGTACCTCCAG